GCTGTACCCGCCCCAGACCCCTCATCACAGCACTGTTAAACGGCCTCGCCCCTGCCTTCCTCATTGGCTCCATAGTCCCACATACCTCCCAACCCAGCTCCTCCTCTTTGATTAATTAGTTCTTCTCTTAAAAGACTTAGCAGTTTTTTAAAAAGTATGTGCTCAAAGATAAGCTCCCCTCTTTTTGGGGGGGCGGAAGTGGGGATGGGTGGGAGGATTTACTAGTAGGTTTAAAGAATGTAATTTAAGCTGCTTATTACAGAGGTTTTTTTTTTTTTTTTAATTCTGCCTCTTTTATTGGACAGTAAATAATAGTTTTAATTTTTTGAAATAGTAGAATTTAACTGCAATGTGTTTTTGTTTTTGTTTCAAATAACGTTAAATTGGCTTGGCCTAGACGTTAATGAATCTCTTGTGATTTGAGGGACTTTCAGGTTTATGATCTTCTTGCAGTTACTGCTCACATCTAGTGGTGAGGGTGACCTTATGGGGGAGGGAAATTTGACAACTACGGGGTTGAGATGATCTTCAGGCTATTGATGCTCTCAGGTCTTACCTTTTTACTTTGAAAGGTAGTATACTGTGGTTAGGAAAAACCAAAATAAACTTGCTAGATTGTGAGATTGAGGAGACAAGAATACATGTGAAAGAGGGAGAGAGAGAGACAACTATATCAATTTCTCTAATTGTCATACTTCCTACTTTGAGACACTTAGACTTTTGTTGGCGTTTGGGTGGGCTTATCAGTGGATAAGAGGAAAATATTTTTTTTTAAACCTCAAAGTTATCTCTAATCATATTTTTATTAGTGTATCACTTTTATTTTACCCTCCCCAATTTTTTTTAACTAGGCGATCTTCATGATTCCTACCAACCCTCCCCCCACATTTCGAAAGCCAGAACTGTGGTCCGATAACTTCATGGATTTTGTGAAGCAGTGTCTTGTAAAGAGCCCTGAGCAGAGAGCCACAGCCACTCAACTCCTACAGGTATGATTCTCCCCGAGGTGCTGCCTCCCTCTTTTTCATTCACATACTGGCCAAAAGATGCTGCCAACCCACCTCCACAGAGACAGTAAAGAAGTATAAGACATTCCCTGCCTCCAGGGAGCTTTGAATCTGAGTAGAAAAGAGTGTTAAAGCATTGACCAAGATAATAATGCAAGAAAATGGAGGGCTATGTGGGATCAGAGACTGGGAACTGCCATTTAGTGAGCCCCTGCTGTGTGCTGGGTGCCATTTAATCATCACAGACGCCCTAGGAGGGATGGCTATTATTTCAGTTTTATAGGTGAAAAAATGGAAGCTTAGAAAGGTTAACTCATTTAGAGTTCCTCAGCTGAAAAACAGCAGAGCTGAGACTAGAACCAAGGTCTTCTTGGGTCCAAAGCAGGAGTGCCCACAAGTCTACCCAGTTCTGATGAGGAACTGAGATTAGTGGTAGGTGCTCTTCTCGCTCATGATGGGAGGAGGCCTCTTTGGGCTGGCAGTACTAGGACCGCTCTCCTGGAGCAGGTAACCTCAGTGCGTGGGCCTGGAAGGATGGGAGGGGTTTGCAGGCGCTCTGCTCAGTAGCTAGGAGGTTGGATTCAGGAGTCACACTGCCCAGGTTTGAATCCTGGGCTCCCTGTTTACTAGCTTTGTGACCTTGGGCAAGTAACATAACCTCTCTGTTGCTTTAGTTTTCTTATCTGTAAAATGGAGACCAAGTATCTGCCTCATATGTTGTTTGAATATTAAGTGATATAATATGTGTAACTTTAAATAATGTTTCACACATATTAAAAGTAGTATGTTGTGGATTTGACAAATACCTGTGGTTGTTACTAGGCTAGGCCAATGGTTTTCAGCCGTGTCAGACCCAGTGCCCCCCCTTTTTAACTGATATGTATATTTGTAATACTCTTACTGCTCTTCCGGATTGAAATTCTTAGATGATAAAATCTGTTTGTGCCCATAATTTAAAAAGAGTATAATGTGATATAATGAAGGCAGAAAGATTTATAAAAAAATGTGTGTCAGTATAGAGATAGGCTCCAGCTTGACTCAACTTGCAGACGTAATGAGATAGTTATATACCTGTACCGAGAACCATAATGAGTTTAGAGTAAGAGCGACAAGAACAGAAACCATTCCATTCAGGCAGTACAGGACAACGAATGGGTGGACACTAGAATAAAAGTGTTGTTAAATAATAACAGACCAGGCTTATTTGTATGTGATAAGAAGAGGGAAATGATCTTAGAGATTTTCCAAGTGGAGAGAAGAGAGAACAAGGAAATAATGATATTCTTGCAAATGAGCTGGGTCTTATTTCTAAGTGTATTGACAGATTCTTTTCTTGCCGGGAGGGGGTATTGATGAAGTTTTATGGAAAAGAAGTCTCTTTTGCAATCCCACTACATGCTGAGGCATACTTCCAATCTCTTGAGTACTTACAAAGACCTTAGAGACCATTTTCTGTGGTGGGTGCTGGGGAATAGAGAACAGGTTGCAAAGAGAAACACTGGGGGGACAATGTCAGAATAAGTTGGGGAGATCCAACAAGAATTTTGATATGTAACTTCCACAGCATGAATTTCCTATTGTACTAGCAACACAAATAACAAAAATGTACAGTGGTGTTCATATTAAAAAATTCAAGCATTTTTTTGTAAATGAAATTCCACGCTATTCCTGTGTTTCAAGTGTCTTTGCTGATTGATATTTGGGTCTACATCTCTTACGTATTTGTGACCAGTTTTAGTATTTCTGCAGTAACTACGCTTTTCACCAAAATCCTTTAAGTCTGTAGTTGGAAATGCTAGGGAGCATATTGTATAGGAAGAATGAGCAGGATGAGTAAATTATTCAGTGATACTTAAACAATGTCTTTATGACATTTCAGCCTTACCCTCCAAAATCATCTCCTAAATTACTAGACTTTTTGCTTATCTCTTGAAAAAAATTTGGAGTATTATTTCCTAAAGCGTATACATACTCTGTGACATTTGAAAGATGTGCAAAATGTGCCACAGTCCACTGTTGTGTGGGACCGTTCCACACCTTGAAGGCTTGCTGGTGTCCCTGCTTCCCCTCACATTCCATCCGGGTTCTCCAAACACCGTGACAACTATAAGCTCCCGGCATGTTTAGAAAACTTCCTCTAGGGGGTGGTACCACCCTGTTGAGAATCTCTAGATTTGGCAGAGAGGAACAGAGGAGACTTTTGCAGCCAGGCTGAAAAAGATGGGCAAAGCCTGAATGTGCATCTGGTCAGAGTTACAAAGTGAATGTGGTTTCACAACTCTCACCCAAAACAGAGAGAGAAAGATGAGGGTCGTTGATTAAGCAGATGTTATTGAGTACCTGTGGTGTGCCAGGCACTGTGTGGGTACTGGTGCCGTCGAAACTGTCTCCAGTGTTGTCTGCTTTCTCATTTAAGCACCCATTTGTCAAGAGTGCCAAGGGAGTGTCCATACTGCGTGACTTAATTAACGAGGCCATGGATGTGAAGCTGAAACGCCAGGAAGCCCAGCAGCGGGAGGTGGACCAGGATGACGAGGAGAACTCTGTGAGTGGCAGGCCTTGCTGTGGGCCTCAGGCGTTCATGCGTGTTCTGTCGTGATTGCCAGGTCAGGTGACGTGAGTGGGGGTGGCCTGGAGCAATCATGGCCGCCGGCCCCAGGCACTGTTGAGGGCTTGCTGAGGCTGTGCTTGTTCTCACCGTGCTTCCCAAGACACCTTCAAATTTTACTCTTTGGCCCTTCAAATTAACTTTTTTCTCAGGTTTTTTTTTTGTTTTTTTTTTGTTTTGTTTTGTTTTCCAGAAAAGTGAACGCTCAGGTCTGAGACTTGGTTTTTCATGCCCTTTTGGGGCATCAAGGATTCATACTAAAATGTAGATTTTACACTCACAGACTCCCTCACAAGCCTGAGATTCCAAGGGTGTGCACCTCAGCTCCTTAGATCTATGTGTAAAACTTTTTTAAAAAATATTTATTTGGGGCGCCTGGGTGGCTCAGTCGTTAAGCATCTGCCTTTGGCTCAGGTCATGATCTTGGGGTCCTGGGATCAAGCCCTGCATCGGGCTCCCTGCTCAGCGGGAAGCCTGCTTCACCCTCTCCCACTCCCCCTGCTTGTGTTCCCTCTCTCGCTGTGTCTCTCTGTCAGATAAATAAATAAAATCTTAAAAAATATATATTTAAGTAATCTCTGCACCCAGCGTGGGGCTCAAACTCACGACTCCGAGATCAAGAGTCACGGACTCCTCTGACTGAGCCGGTCAGGTGCCCCTCTGTTGTAAAACTCTTACGAAGGAGAGAGGAAGGGGAAAGGGAGAGGGTCCTCCCGGGTTAGATATGCTGCTCTTGCCCAGCTGACTTTATGATCTTCTTTGGGTAAGTAAGAGTGCTCTCAGTTCTGAGGGGTGTGGGCCTAGAATCCCAGTCAGCGTCAAATCCAGAAATGCTCTCACCGAGGTGAATAATAGTAATTCTAAAGACTCAAACCTTTTGATCCAGTCAGGCCCGATTTGAGGTTTTGTCCTCTCACAGGAGGAGGATGAGATGGACTCCGGCACGATGGTTCGAGCAGCAGGTGATGAGATGGGCACCGTCCGGGTAGCCAGCACCGTGAGTGATGGAGCCAGCACTATGATCGAGCACGGGGACACGTTGCCGTCACAGCTGGGCACCATGGTGATCAACGCAGAGGACGAGGAAGAAGAAGGGACCATGAAAAGTAAGGCTCTGCTTAAATATACTCCCTCCTCTGACAACCCCTACACATTCCAGAGAAAACAGGCTCTTATGGTCTACACGGGCTCAGGCTGGAGTCATTTTCTGGTTGCGCAGGGGACTGGGGATGCGGGAGGGGAGAGCTGGCCTGAGGTGGCAGAGGCAAGAAAGCGTCAGCAGTGAGGAAGGACCTTCTTTTGAACCAGAACAGCCACCTCTCATCGAATGTTGTCATTTTCTCCTCCTTATATTTGATCCATGGACGCAAGCACGTGTATTGTTTTGATGCATAATTCAGAGTGTGATGAGATTCTAAGCTATTTACTGTAGATACCTTAAGTCTATTTTCTGTTTTCTGATAGTCAATAGTTAGGATGACTGTACAGCTTTGAAAGCCCTATCAAGTCCCTTCTGGTTGAATCCTGCTCATCCTTTTTGGCCTGTGGCCGCGGCCTGACACTGGGGCTCGGCTCCCATCTCAGGCTGCTGTCCTCTCCTCTGATCTTCTGTTATTTCCCTTCCCTTACTCTGCATCACAGACCAACTCACAGAGGAAAGGAATTTGGGATACAAACGGTAATAATTGAGTTCTGGATGCATGTTTTAGCCTGAGCTTTGCATAGGCTTAAGTCTTCATGTTCTTTTCATTATCTTAACCACCCCCTTTTTAAAGTTTAAAGGTCCTTCCTTTATTTTTTTTTCAAGATTTTATTTATTTATTTGACAGAGAGAGACATAGTGAGAGAGGGAACACAAGCAGGGGGAGTAGGAGATGGAGAAGCAGGCTTCTCGCTGAGTAGGGAGCCCGACGCGGGGCTCGATCCCAGGACCCTGGGACCATGACCTGAGCTGAAGGCAGACGCTTAACGAGTGAGCCACCCAGGCGCCCCTAAAGGTCCTTCCTTTAAAACCAGGGAGCAGCAAACTATGGTTCACAGGCCAAATCCGCCTGCCACCTGGTTTTGGCAATAAAGTTTTATCGGAACATAGCCATGTCCATTCATTTGCATATTGTCTGTGACTGCTTTTGTGCCACAGCGGCAGAGTGAGCGGTTGTGACAGAGACCGTATGGCCCCCAAAGCCTGAAATGTTTGTTCTCTGGTTCTTTACAGACAGAAAAAGTTCTCTAACCCCTGCTCTAGACCCTCTGCTTTGTGATGAATTCATTCCATGAATTTTTCTTCAGGGCTGTATCCCAGGGACTTTGCCAGGTGCAGAAGAAACAGTGCTTGCCGCAGAGGAACCCACTGTCTTGTGTGGCGGACAGACCATTAATTACACTTCAGTGTATGAAACAAGTTCTAAAATAGGGTTAATCTAGGGGCTTGTCAAAGCAGAGTGGAAGAGTATTCAGTCTGGATTGGGGATTACTGAAGAATTCCTGGAGAAAAAGGGAGGAAGGTTGGCAGTGAGTAGGGCGGGTAGAGGTTTCAGCAGAGGGAGCAGCATACGCGGAGTCCCAGCGGCAAGGGAAGGGTAGATCAGTGCAGGGGGCCTGCAACCGGTTTCTTGTGACTGGAGCGAGCAGGTCTGGCTGTGGGCCTCAGGCAGCCCCCTCTGCTTTTCACCTTTCAGGTCTGTGTATTTATAATCAACCCTTTGTTTATGAGGAGAAAAGGTTTTTTTTTTTTTTCTCTTTGGGGGCCAAGGCTCATCATCTGTGTTTGGATTCTGGTCAGAAGGATACAGGTGGTGGAAGAGTAGTAGTACTGTTGATGGATGTGTAAATTGGTATAACTTTTCTGGAATGCAGTATGCATCAAGAGTTTAAAAGGTCCAGACCTTTGACCCGGTACATTCCACTTCTAGGAATCAGGTCCAAGAAAATAATCGAAGATCGAGACAAATTATATTCAAGAATTTTTCCAAACATGTTACTTATAATTGTAAAAAAAAATAAATCTGGATTAATTTAAATGTTTAGTAGCAGATGGTTGATCTAATAAATTATGATACATCCATAAGAGGGACTATTATACCATATAAAAATATTAAAAGTCCTGTTTTGGGGGAATACTTAGTGAGTTAGGGAAATATTTATGATACGTTGTTAAGTGAAAAAAGAAGGAAGCAAAATTATAGTGTGACTCTGGTTTTATTAAAGAAGATAAATTAACATATGTTAATGTGTACATAGAAAAAAGACTGAAAAAAAAAACCCCAAAAAGGCTGGAGGTAAATAAATCAGTTATTAAAAGTAGTTATTGGTAGTAGGATTATATATTTTTTGTTTTATTTTTTAAAGATTTTATTTATTAACTTCACAGAGAGCGTGCAAGCATGAGGGGGGCCCTAAAATGGATATTTATAAGAGTTTATAAAAACATTGTCACCCTGTTAGTCCCTTCAAATTCTTATCTCATTCATTGTTCTTAGGTATGTTTCATCCCCTACACTCCAGATTGGAGCACCCTAGGGTGTTATGTAAATTATCAAGTGAATGCTATGTACTAAATGTTTTTTTATTTTTAAGTAGCCAGTGTGATTTGTTAGGAAGGTTTGTTTTGCAGTAAGGAGAGGTGCTGACCTCTGTCTTTTCATTGACTCTGAGTGCTTTATCTTCTACTAGTTTTAAGGGCTTTAATCATACGATTGTAAGTACTGCATAGTGTAAAGAGGCCAGCCCATTAACATCTGTTGTGCATGCTCATGTTATGGAAAATCTGCCCTTTTTTTATTTAAAGAATTAATTTTGTTGCAAATGTAATTTTCCAAATGTATTTAAAGTGCTAATTAATTCAGTGGGTTGTTCAGTTTCTGAGCTTGGATAGTTTAACGTGTCTAATGAGAAACATGCATCTTTTATTATAGTCATGATGAAAAACTGTTTTAAAACCTCAGCAATCACAGCTGAGTGACGTTAAATAAACTCAGTTCACCAATCATCTACTAGAGGTCTGGTAATTCAGTTTTTGGGCCACAGGTTTGACAGATTTCCCACTTATTTTGAGATCTTTACCACTTACTGTTTTAGATGTTATTTAAATTTTTCATCATGTCATTTAAAATGGATGTAACTGCACAGAATAATATCATGAGTGACCCCAGTGGACCTGTCACCCAGTTTCAAACCTAATTAAATCACTGCCCATCATATTTTAGCCTCCCCCAAAGAAAATAAACTCAATTAATTTAAAGCAAATCTCAGACATCATACCATTTCTTCAGAATTAGTTTTTTTGTTTGTTTGTTTTTTGTTTTTTTAAAGATTCTATTTATTTATTTGACAGGGAGAAACAGCAAGAGAGGGAACACAAGCAGGGGGAGTGGGAGAGGGAGAAGCAAGCTTCCCGCCAAGCAGGGAGCCCGACGCGGGGCTTGATCCCAGGACTCTGGGATCATGACCTGAGCCTAAGGCAGACACTTAGCGACTGAGCCACCCAGGCGCCCTATTTCTTCAGAATTAGTTTTAAACATTTAAAAGAGACTGTTTGGCCAAGTCTGGCTCAGCTGCTAGTTCTCCGTGTTGTCTTGGAGAGGTCACTTTCCTTGTACGAGCCTCCATGCCTTAATCAGTAAAATTAAAGAATTATTAAACTGATGTACTTTCCTTTTCCCCTACAGCTCAAGTAGTTCACACGTCTATAAAGATTGTATAACTCATGACTAATAGAGAACTGAAGTTTCTAGAAGTTGAAACTTGTGAAAATAAATAGGCTTTCATCTAGTGTCTTCTTTGACCTTCTGTGAAATGTTTAATCCTCGAAAATTAAAATTATAACTGTTACCCTCAATAAACTCAACAAAAAAGACCTATCCCTATAGTTGTTTGCATTAGTTTCAGAGAACCTAATTTTAGTTTCTAATTTTAAAGAAACTGTAATAAGAATATTGACTCACATACTTAATTTGTGTAGGACATCTGGGTCAGAAACTTTTCTGAAATTTTTGATAATGCTTTCTGATGACTGAGTATATTTTACAGATCTTTTTAAAAGTTTATTTCTTGTCTTTGAAAAGTTATATATTTCATTTGCTCTTTTACTGTATTAAAAATTATTATACCAACAGTATTGTAGCCATATGAATGCACTGTTAAAAAAAAGGAAGTAGTTTACCCTCTCACTCCAATAAAGAATGCCTGTTTTTGACCATGTGCCTGTATGGCTCCTGTACAGTAATAATTTGCCTAGATATTCTGTTTTCTGATTATTTTCCACTTAATAGGTGTATGCATTTTCCATGTTGCTGCAAAGTCCGTTTTTATATTTGTCACACTTAACAGTGTATTTTAATCGTTTATCTGTTGCTAGACATTTTGGTTGTTCCTAATTTTTCACTATTATAAATAAATTTGCAGGGAACAGCTTACATATAAATGTTGCTTCTTTTTAGTATTTCTTAGGAAAAGTTTTCAGAAGTATTTGAATAGTTTCATGTGTATTTGTCATATTGTGCTTATCCTCCGAAGTTTGTACCACTTTACATTCCACGAGGGTAATAGCAGCTATCAGAGCCCTTGATTTCTTCCTTATATCCATCTCTCCTTTTTATTTCCCATGTTTTAAATCTCTGTGCCACTTTCTAGGTGTTTTCTCTGTATTTATCTTCTATCATTCATTTTTTAGCCATATCAAATCAATGATTTGACCCAGACACTGAGTTTATTTCTTTTTTCTTAAGATTTTATTTATTTATTTATTTAAGAGAGAGAGAAGGAAAGATAGAGAGTACAAGCCGAGAGAAGAGGGAGAAGCAGGGTCCCAGCTGAGCAAGGAACCCGACGTGGGGCTCCATCCCAGGACCCTGGGATCATGACCTAAGCTGAAGGCAGATGCTTAACAACCGAGCCACTCAGGCGCCCCAGACACTGAATTTATTTCTGTGGATACATTTTTTGCTTCCTAGTTTGTTTGTTTTTTAAGATTTTATTTATTTGTGAGAGAGAGTGAGCGAGTGCACATGCAAGCAGGAGCAGAGGAGAGGCAGAGGGAGAAGCGGACTCCCCACTGAGCAGTCAGTTAAGCTGAAGGCAGACACTTAGCTGACTGAGCCACCCAGGT